TTGAAGGGCGATGCTTTTCTTTGGCGCCTAGTGCCAAAGGATTACGCTGCCTCACGACGCTGCAAGGAACAAAAAGCATAAGTCATGATGAAAACAGAGAAAAACAGAGGAGCTGGTGACTTACATTGACGCTATTGGGCGGCAGATACGTTGGGGGCGAACCTCTAGACCTCTGCTCCGCCTCATTGGGGCGAGGCCATTTCGAGCCCATCCCCTACTCCTAGGTAGAGGGGCTCGCCCCCTTGCATCTTGGGGCACAACGGTGGAGCCACCCACCGACAGATCCGCCCACCCCTATCGGCTCCTGGGGTAAGCCGATGGTTCAGCTCATCTCCGCCGGCCCCATGGACGCGCCCTCCCCTCCATGGGACGGGAAGGGTCCCAACTCCTACAAGGACGAGCGAATACCTGTCAGCACATCCTCGCTCCCCAGGTCATCCCACTCGATGTCGCTGACTACCTCGTCGTCTTCTTCCTCATCATCATCGCTCGTCGTCATGGTCGGTGTCCTCCCCTTGCTCCTGCGCCTGCAGCTTCCTCTTCCTCTTCTTCCTCTTGTCCTCCTTCGCCTTTCTAACATGCTCGCCCTCGGTGCGATTCACTGCCCTCATGGACGAATCCCTCGGCAATAGAGCCAGGTGATCCGTGAGGACAAGGTCCCTCGGCTAGTCCCCCTATCACAATGTTAGTATCAAGAGGTCGGGAGATCAATTAAAGAGGAGGCATGAGGAGGGGAAACTTACAAAGACGACGTAGCCTGGTTCCAGCCGCATCGGAGGATGCCTCGGCACCGGGTACACGAAATCAAGGGGGTGCCCACGTCATCCCACGAAGGCTCCATCACCTCCTTAATGCACTGTGACTTTAGAGGGGGGAGCGCTCCCTCGGCGAGCGTCGTCCCATTGAATGACGCCTCGGGCGCCATCCCATGCAGCGGAAGCGCCCATCTCATCAACGGCACCACCCTCCTCTTGTGGTAGGCCCCGATGATGCCTGACCCCTTTAGGCCGCTCTCCATCAGGATGTGGACGGTGGAGAGCTAGTCCCAGATCCTCTTCTTGTCCTTCTCTGGGACACCCCACTTCCTCCATGATTCTGGGGCCTCCTCGATCAGGCGCCGATGAACTCCGGCAAGGGGGGCATCAGCGTCGTTCTTGAGATAGAACAACTATGAATGCCACCTCTTATTAGAGGTCGATAGCCACATCGACGAGTACTCACCGACCCGGTTGTTCCGGAGGTGGATGCCGGTGCATCCCATCGGCGTATGCACCTCCTACCTGCCTCCCTTCTCCCTTTTCTTCTGGAGGGTGACGACAAAGAAGTGCTGCCATAGATCGAAGTAGGGACTGATCCCTAGGAATCCCTTGTATAGGGCAACGAACGTCGCCATGTGCTGGATCCCGTTGGGGTTGAGGTGCTGCAACTTGACCTTGTAGTAGTGCAGTAGCCCTTAGAGAAATCTGTGAGCGAGGGCAGTGAACCTGCGCTCATGGAAGTGCGTGAAAGACACCACATAGCCATCGGGCGATGACGACATCTCCTCCTCGCCGGGCAGCAACCACTCCTCGGTTGAGGTCCACGCACAGAGAAGGCCGTGACGGACGAGGCCCTCCATACGCTGGAAGGTGATGTCAGAGCGGCACCACGGATCCATTGGAAGATGACAGCGGATGGATGCAAGCTTGACGACGGCTAGGACATGGATGCAGGAAGCCTAGGCGATTGGCGGTGGAGGTTGCAGATGCAAAGGCAAGAAGGCAAGGTATGAAACCCTAGGGGTGAACCCTTTGGTTTTATAGGGGCGACGGACGCGAGAAAACCAACCATCCGCCTTGATCTCCGTGCTTGCCATGATTTTCCATAATGTCACGCCACGAGATATGCGCACGCAATCCCTATCCATTCCCTCGAAAGACTCGCCGGACGTTTTGCCTCCCCTGGCGGGCCATGACTCGTCCCAAGTAAGAGGAATATGGATCAAAGAACACCTCTACGACCCATCTAGAGTTCAAAGGTTGGCCCGTCAACGGGTTCGACAGCCGCTCCAGGCACCCTTTGGATAAGGGATGGAAAGGGATGGGCCCATAAGCGGCCAGTACCAAGGCACACGAGCGCCACGAGCATCTCAGCCCATGATCGAGGCACATCCAGGCTGACCCTAGCCTGATCCCCGCGAATGAGATGATGAGACCCCAATCGAACTATCCAGCTAACAAACCACTAAATCTCACGACCATACCCACGAAGGCTCCAACCTCGGCAAGAAGGAATCACCATCCACGCCGTGGGAAACAAAAGAAGGCCAGGGCCCTCAGAGTCCTCCCTTTCGGAAAAACCTCCGAATGAGTATTCTACTCCTTCGCAGGCTAGGGGGCTACACCCACCGGGTATGCTCGCGCGCACCCGCTGGCAAGTCAAAAAATCACCCAGGTGATTCTACCCGAATCGCCCGGAGGCTCGGGGGCTACTGTTGGGGACCAATACTATGGTACCTAAAGAGGAGGAGCTAATAACCATCAATGCTGATCCATCCGAGTGGTCAAGAGCGTGACTACACCTCTTGCTGGGCTCCATCTCGTCCGACCACCGAGGCCATGGGATCTGCCTTGTCCGACCCCGAGGGTGGGCTCCATCTCGGTGGACATTGAGGTCGTGGGATCCATCTCGCCCGACCCCCCGAGGGTTGGGATCCGCCTCGTCTAACCCCTGAGGGTGGGCTCCACCTCGCCCAACGTCTAAGGACTAACTCCGCCTCGCCTGACATCTGAGGGTGGACTCCGCCTCATCCGAGGTCTAGGGGCGACTCCACCTCGCCCGACGTTTGAGGGCTGACTCTGTCTCACCCGACGTCTGAGGGCTGGCTCCGCCTCAGCCCGATGTCTGAGGGCGGGCTTCACCTCGCCCGACGTCTCAGGCATGGCTCCTGACAGAAGCTCACGTCGCCACCAACCACTACGGGCCAGAAAGTACAACCCAAAGTCAAACTTCTGGCATCGTGCAGAGAGCAGTCATGTCTCAACATGACCCATCCCCGCGACATGTCATTCTAGGGGCCTCACAACGCCCACAGTGATGGATGCGTGGTCACTGTGCTGCCTACTCCCTGTATGGTCGCTGATCAGCACGCTGGGTCACCGCGTCGCCCACCGGGGGAGGATGGAACGTCATGACCCGCTGACAACACCAGGGCATGGCATCATTAGGCGGACAGGCACCCGGCGTGGGGCTATTGAAAGGTACTAATATGGCTAGAGGGGGGTGAATAACCTATTTAAAAAACTACAAACCAACTAGAGCAATTTGATTAGTACGACAAATAGTGAAAAGCAAACTTGCTCTAGCTCTACAAGGGTTGTAAGCCACATATCCAACAATTCTAGTTACTATGATCACTAGACACACAATTTACTAAGTCACTACTCACTAAGAGCTCTCACACTTGCTACACTAAAGAGCTCCACTAGATGAACTTAAGCTACAAAGCAAGCTCTCAATTTTAGCTACACTAAAAAGCTTACTACAACTAGTTTGCGAGAATATTAATGAGTGAGTAGAGTGATTATACCGCCGTGTAGAGGAGTGAACCAATCATAAGATGAACACTAAATCAATCACCGGGAGAATATCAAAGGGCAAGAGACAACCAATTTTCTTCCGAGGTTCACGTGCTTGCCAACACGCTACGTCTAGTGGCACTTTGATAACCGCATTTCGATACGAGTTTCACCCCTCTTAATAGTACGTCTATCGATCCTAAATGTGATCATACTCTCTAAGTGTCTCAATCACTAAACCAAAAAGATCCTATCAATTTCACCTTTGCCTTGAGCTTTTGTTTTTCTTTCCTCTTTTCTAAGTCCAAGCATATGATCATCACCATGCCATCACCATCATCATCATGTCATGATCTTCATTTGCTTCACCACTTAGAATGTACCACCTATCTCATAATCACTTTGGGTTTCATCAATTTACCAAAACCAAACTAGAGCTTTCAGCTGTCCCTGTCACCACCGGTCGTGTTAGCAGGGCCCGCACAAAGGAAAGGAAAGGTCCGGCGACCCTGAAGGACTTTCTCTTCCTCTCGTTCTTCTCTTTTCTCCCGTTGTAATCCGTGCTTTCCCTTGGCCATTAAAAGGGAAGGCAGGGCACCCCACTAAGGGGCACCGGTTCAACACACCGCATCGGAACATCACACACACACACACACCACTAGAGACTTAGGATAAGTCCCTCTCTCACCCGTTTGTAACATTTACTACGAACTTTTCAGTGCTAGTAACACGAGCAGCAGCAACGAACTGGACCTAGGGACTTTCTGCCCGAACCAGTATAAATATCGTGTCCTCTTAAAACACTATCCGGGCCAGACGCGCAATAATAGAAATTTACTCGTTGGTGTTTACTCGAAACGGTAATTTAGATATTTGTGGTCAATTCTTATAAAAGATAAATGCCTTACAAATTCCTAAACAAGACGTGCTTATTTAATTTAAATTTAAATTGTACTGGTCGGCTAATGATTGGGAAGACGGAGTCATACGAAAGGGACGTTGACCTCGCAGAAAAAAAAAAAAAAAGAAAGAGACGTTGATGTGTCAAGGGAATATATGAGTTTATATATCAAACCCTGGAGTTAAGGCGTTGATTAGTTGATTAATAAGTTGCATAAGGAGTTTTTAATGTTATAAAAAACAACCTAGAAAGAGCGGCTAATGAAGTGATATAAGTTAAATGCTGGATTTGGATTCCAGAATCGGACTATTTCACTATTTCTGTCACCCAACTGAAGCAAATAACAATATACTGTAGAAGCTGCGGTCTGCTAGGCTGCATGCCATATATACTATACTCATTATGTGATGTTTGAACTACTTTTTTTTAAGAAAAAAGAATTGTTTCCAAATGGTTTCCATTTGTGTGGAGTTACGTCATTCTTCATCTCGGTTATGATTCTCCTATTTCCGTTCACCTTATCTTTTCTGAACATGGATCAGAGAAACGCCACTCGCGGATGCGCTGAAGTACCAAATTGAAGTCCAAAGGAAACTGCACGAACAGCTCGAGGTTAGACTACCCAGAAACCTTCTCTGCTACAACGATTGCAGTCACGAAGAAAAAAATCTGACCTCTTAGCTCTTAATTTGTTTTGCACATGCAGGTTCAGAAGAAGCTGCAAATGCGGATCGAGGCGCAAGGCAAATACCTGCAGACGATACTCGAGAAAGCCCAGAGCAACCTGTCGTACGACGCAACTGGAGGCGCGAACCTAGAAGCGACCAGGTCGCAGCTGACGGACTTCAACCTCGCGCTCTCAGGCTTCATGGACAACGTGACCCAAGTGTGCGAGCAGAACAATGGCGAGCTGGCGAAAGCCATGTCCGAGGACAGCCTCAGAGCGAGCAATAATCTAGGCTTTCAGCTATACCATGGAGTTCATCAGGATGGGGACGATGTCAAGTGCGCTACGGATGAAGGGCTGCTGCTGCTGGACCTCAACATCAGAGGCGGGTACGATCACCGGGCTTCGGCGGATCTGAAGATGAATCAGCACATGAGGTGAAAAATTCAGTAGAAAGGGAAAGGCGACGGTCATAGTTTAATCTAAGAGTTGCCCTTGTGTTTGCGAGAAATTCTTTCGGCCATCCTGATTCCTGGATGCTTTGTTTACGGTGATGGCCAGCGTATTGCTAATGTAAAATTTGGTGAGAGGCTCCGAATAAGCGTAGCTAATCTTATACAAGATCTATATATATACTTCATACGGGTCTCGAGTAGAAAGTGAAAGCATCTGCAAGATGGGGCCATGCACCATTTGCAGCAGGCCGTTTGCATGCAGGTTCGGTACCTCTGATTATATTTTTCCCTTTGTGAATAGATTGCTCAATGCTCATGCTATCGTTTTGCGCAATAAGCAGGTGAATCGGATCGGTTGGAGCTTATGACTATGCAACAGTGTTAAAACGAGTCTACGTTTCGTTGAAAGGGTCTAAAAATTAAAAAAAAAGAAAATAAAAGAAAATGTAACCTAGTGAAGAACGTGTTCCGACGGCTAATATTACAACAAAATCACAAAAAGTATATCCGTTTTTATATCTTATGTGCAACCAATCTATTTTTTTTTACGCCTCTCATCTGGATATGCATCTGTTTGTATACGTATATACACCAACATCATACACACGCACACCTTACCATACACACGCATACCTTACTCAGCTGCCGTATACAACAAGACCTACAATTGTACATGGATATGAAGACGCGACTAGAACGTCTTTTTTTTTTTCTCCACGTGTTGAGAGGTTTCACTAAAATTTGACATTTATTCGACGAGAAAACCCCGGTTAGGGCGGGCACCGAGCGAGGCTCGAACGCGGGTGGGCAACATCACACGCTGCGACCTTAGCTTTTGCCAACTGTGCTACGCGCAGTCCTCAACAACCAATCCATTTGTTCTCGAATGCTTATGCGTGAAAGACTGGAGAGCAGTACAAATCATTTTTCTTAATGAAACTGGTCACAAGCAAAAAAAATCACGTGATACCAAAGTAGAGTCCATAGGTAATATGCTTGAGATCAGCAACTCACTGGCATTATAATGGTGGTTTTATATTCTCCTACGACTAAAAAGAACAAAAGTAAGACTATTTTTTCGTGTGATGACCTCCCCGCGACTCCAAAGATTTGAGTCGTGATATCTCCTCACCGATGTTGGTACGATGCCGGACCCTCGCTCCTCGCCGTCGCCGTCGCCGTCGCCGCCGCCGCCTCCCCTTGCGATACTGCGCGTAGATGTGCGATCGCCTCTTCAAGTCGTTCCATTGCCCGAGGGCGGAGGCGCCTAGACGGAGAAGGAGCGCCGCCTATCCCTGCTGATCCCCCATCGGACTCCATGGTTTAGCGTCGAAGACGATGAGCCTAGCAGAGCGGTGGTGGAATCTCTACTAAAGAAAGAGAAGAGAAGCCTCCTCATCACAAGTAGGAGTGCCCTCGGATCGTGTGTCTTCATCGCCGCGGAGGCACATAAGAGGAGGCTAAGGAACTGAGATAATACGACTCTGCTTCATCACATTCTCCACCGAGCAGGAGATTCGCGACGTCCTCCTTCAGACCTCGATTCATGTAGTCCATGGCGGGAAGCTGATGCATCCACGGGCCGAGGTTGTGGCGGCTATCCAAAAGTTGTGGCATTGGCGGCAGCTACCAGTACCATGATGTCTGTGGCGGGGGTAGTTCGTCTGTTCGTCGCTACCAAGGAGAGCTGCGAGCAAGCGCACGACAGCCTTCAAACTCACGGTCTTGGTCTGCACCATCGACGGTAATCAAGGGGTAAGCTCCGAAAATACCTGTTCAATTCGATTTAATCTGATTCCAGCCAAAAATCTCGTTTCTACTTTTCCATAAGCAAGTATATTATCAAATGAGTGTCAATACTAATTTACTGACCAAATTAGAAACTGAACTATTAAGAATACCCATATGGTACTGTAGAATTAAATACTCTAGGTACATTATGCATAAAATATCTGTAGAATTTTTAGTTTGCTTTTTTACCTTACAATAAAATGTTCTCCTTCCCTTTGATTTATTTTGGTCATGCTCCATTTGTGCCAAATTGAAGAGTTTCCAGATCTGTCCCCGTATCTTTTCAATCCTACAAGGCCCAAAAACAGGCCTCTGACTGGCTGTGTTTTGAGATTCTATTGATTTTTCTAGATTAGCTAATGAGCCATTACAGCACACATCTTTCGAAGCTATTGTGAATCTGCGGACAGTTTCCCATTGTGTAAACTAAATTCACGTGTCATTTCTGTTCGTGACACACGGAGCAGCATAAATAAAGTGCAATTTGATGAGTGCCCAAGTTATCAAAGAGAGAACTGTTATGTATCTCGTCGTATAATACTTAATAGTCTCCTCATATATATTGTTTTGTAATGGTGAATTCCATATGAGAGAGAAGGCTAAGAATAACATTGCACAAGATACTCCTGCAATTTTAAAATGCCATAATAGCTGAACTGTTTTACTAAATGCATATTCTTGATACTTATTTGACTAGAAGTACAGATGTATTTTCATTTTTCCTTAGATATGGTTGTTTGCAAGCCTCGCTATTGTGAATTATGTTGGATGCACAAAGGCAGTGTTTGGCTGGCTAGTTGGCTTCTTTATCCAGCCGGAGTAGTGTTTTTCTCTCACAAAATTTCAGCATAAACAGTAATTCCATCATAAACAGTACCGGATTCATACCAGCCGAACACTGCCAAAGCCACCTGCTGATGCAACGACCGTGTGGTTCATTTTTGGGATCTGCTAAATTCTTACCTGATGGCAATGCATGTTTCCTCTTATTGCAGCATCCAAGACATTCTTGACGCTATGAAAGGTATGCTCTCCTATAAATTAGACTCAGTATATATGATTATCTTGCATTACACCTCGGTTCAATATACAGGAATGTACTTGCAATTCAATTAGCTAGCTTTATTCAATATATTTGTTCAAATTTTACTATTCTTTCTACGATTTTATGGTCAGTATTCAAATACATTAATTTCTGCGATAGTATTCTAAAGTTGAATAGCTTTATAATTGACGGATTTTAATTTCCAGTACCAAAATACATGGTCCTTAGGTCAGTTTACAGGACTAAAAGGTTACCTGCATTCTTATTATGTTTTTTTGGAGCAACTTATGATTTTACACCTCGGTTCAATCACAAGGTTTAGGGCACTATTTTTTTTAACAATATATTGCCTGATTCTGAGTGACTTACAAAGCATGAGAAAGTAGTTGACTCAAAATGTCAATTCCAGAGATGAGAGAGTTGTTTTTGAGATGCACTGGTTTTTATAGACTCAGTTAATTGTATTGTGGTTGAAACAATGCACTTGGTCTTGCTTAGAGCTAATTATTTATACATTTCATTGTAATAACTTTCAGTTCAACTATTGGGTACTGTGCTATTATGCATATGTTGTTATTTTCCATCTCTACCTTACCTTAATGTTTATCGATGAAGATGGTTTTTGTTATTTCATTCCACTGAATGCATTTAGAGATTATTTACAACAAAGTACTTCACCTATTTTTTCCTCCTTTATGGATCTCCAGGCACTTGGAAGAAATTTCTTCGGGCCTTCTTTTTTTGAGTTGGTTTTGGTTGGAATGCTGTCAGATGGTTCATCAACTCTTTGTTATGCCCAGGTAGGTTGTTTATTTGCCTGATCCATTCTAATTATGGTTTGTTTGGATGTCTTAACTATGTGTTTTTAAATTCACAAGATTAAAGCTTCATTCGGAGCTATTATACACTTTAACCTGGAATTTCAGTTGTAATTCTCCTGGTTAATAATAAGTCTCCAAAACATGGATGTTAATAATTTGATGGAGTAGGGGTGCACGCACCACCAAAGCCATAGCCGGGCACATCGGTTTCCTCCTCAGCCCATGGCCAAGGCCATTTTGATCAGATGCGACACTCTGTCCAACCCATATTGGATTGGACTGTTGCGAGTAGAACCAAATGGTAGCAGACTTGCCTGGCATAGCCCGGGCTGGTCGGTAGTCTTGCCTGGCACTATTTCCAATCTCCCGCAACAGTCCAAGCTCAGTTTGTTTTGCTGACTTTATACCTTATCCTTACATAAGTCCTTTTGCAAGTGAAGAAACATTTTCATACGCCAAACTGATTGAGTTTCAGTATCCTGAATCCTAAGTCAATGAAGCTGAAATTTTGATATTATACCATGTTTCAATTTTATCTTCTGTGTTCCTATTATCTGTGCAACTAATATATTTGTATCAGTTATTAGGATGTAAGGGACCTTACTTATCATCGACCAATGTAGGTGACTACAAGTTACGTTTATTCGAGTGGGTGCTTGTGGTGGCGGGCAGGATTTATGTTTCAAGATTTCTATCGTCGCATTTCCTACCTTTGTTGTGGTTCATTTCAAGCATTGGAGATACGGAGGAAGGTGGGTCAGATTGCAAAGCTAGGGAAGGAGATAATCAAAACACTTTTCCCCTGGTGCTGATTAATTTCATCCTTAAATATTATGGTATTCCAAGGTATCCACGAATCTGTACAGAGTTGTGGGTGTAAAGCAACCTCGCAATAATTTGTGAACTATGCACAGGCCAAAACCGGAGTTGAACAATATCAACTGGTTAGCACTTCAGGTGTCCCGTCTGTTGTTTGACATTCTACTTTAATGAGATCTCAAAGATATATTTACATGTAGTTTCTTTTTTATACTCTTTCGCCTAGAAAAAATTAAGGCTCCCCGTAGCAACGCACGGGCATCAGCAAGTCATGATAAAGGCTGAGATTGAGTTTGCAAAAGGTGAAACAAGGACTCCAATGAAATGCGGACAGGAATTTCATGATAAATTTGACTTTGTCCAAAGATAAAGGGGTCCAGTTAAATTACGGTGAGAATTATGTGTTGCAATTAGATATGAAGCGTTTATTTTCTACTTATAGCAACACTGTACATATGTATTGACTTTGCCCAGAGATAAAGAGGTATTGTATCACTGATGTCATCATAT